GGGCCTTTGTGCAGGTGTGTTGCAGGTCTTACGATGGGGTGGAGCTGAAGAGGCTAATCAGCGCGATCACGGACACCTGGCCGGAGCCGAGGTGCTATTAAGCCCAGCTGCCCGGAGTCACACGGCGGCCCCTGTCTCTCTCCAAACTGGCTGCAGAAGGACGAACTCGGCGATCCTCTCCCCTCGACCACCTATCTCTGCATTTACCACAATAAATGTGCCGTGGTTTTGTAAACTCGTGTATGTCTCCTTGTCTTTCCGTTGTGGCCTACGAGCCGGTCATAACAAAGAGTAAGTTATTTTTACCTGTAATAAACTACTACTGTTTGATGAGAAATCAAATCATGGTTTGCTATATGAATGATATGTTATAGGAGCAAATAATTCAGGGAAGAAAGGATAGGCCTACTAAGTATTTCCATTAAACTTTATTTTTAGAAATGTACAAAATGAACATAAATATACATATATACACGGTATATCATCAATTCCTCCCTGTTGTTGGCATCTTGCCTTTCGCAGCCGGGGCTAGGACGATGCATCAGTGTGGTAGTCCCGTCATGTATTGTCTGGCAGGATCTGGCTGGACGAAATCAAATGCAAATCACAAAATATTAGAGAAACTTAGTTGTTTTAGATTCGTTAGTAGTAGTTGTGGTAGGAGTGTGGATCTATATAATCCATCTATCTAATGAACACAGTAAGCTTGCCAGCTAATATGCTAACCTAGCTTTGTTTACTTTGGTAGCTAACACGATATGAACGCTAGCTCGGAGGAACGGCAACTATAATGTAGAGTAATAAAACTACTATGAACAAAAGCTAGTGGTTCATATTAGGCTAGCAATAACGTGTTTATAATTGCAATCTTATACGGGTAGTCTGCTACGTTCGGTCATTCATTGTAACTGGCATGAATATACTGTAGTGCCGAGAGAAGGGAGTCGGAGGCGGTGCATCGAAGGTGCAAATCTGGCTTTATTGAGCAGCAGAAATGGACATGCTGTCGGGTCGCAGCCCGGGAAGAGAAGAGAAAGCGAAAGGGAGGACACACAGGGTGTTTCTCAATCGCGAGTAAAGCTGCTTCAGAGCCACTATTTCAAGCATACTACGTCATCGAGTGCCGCCGAAGTACTGTTCCAATCTCCAGCATACTTGGAAATCTACCGAGCCCGGGGTACTCCGTTTGGAGAAATATCGAGGCTGCACATGAGTAGACTCCGCGGTCTTAAAATCCCCACAATGCTTTGCGCACGGACCAATTTCCCCAAATCTGTGGCGGAAGATGTAAGGCGGGGCCTCTCATATGACACACACCTGCACACTTGCTAGCCTGTTCCACTCTTCGTTTTCCGAATGCCAGGAAGTATTCTTGACTCGCTTCTGAAGCAAGATGCTCGGCAGACATGTGCTACCAAGCAAGCGTACTCGCGATTGAGAAACACCCACAGTAGGTACACAGTAGGTACCGTCAACATATGTGTCCGTGCGGAAACAATACCCCCAACCTGTAGTTCCTTGATTGAATTATGTAACCCAGTGTATTAATAAGTGATCACTACACAAGCCCCCCCAGAATTCAACCATGGACACAATCCTCGCGTCCGGGAGGAAGCACCACAGGGGCCGAGGAGGGCGGGGCCGCCGGCGAGGGCCGGGCCATGGAACGGGCCGTCGGAAGGGGGCTGCAGGAGAGGGTAGGGGCCCCAACGAGGGCGAGGGCATCCCCACCGGGGGGTGGGGGGTGGTCCGGAACGGGCCGTCGTCAGGGGGCTGCAGAAAGCAGGGTCGCTGTGTTGCGACGTGGGGACAGGCGTGAATATCCCGGTGGTCCCCAGCAGGGAGGAGCGCTGCCCGGCCGCAGGCGAAGGCACAGCGGCGGCGGGTACGAAGTCCTCGGGAGGAAGGAGCCGTGTCCCCGGGAGAAAGAAGCCGTGGACAGGGGAGAGGCCAGACGGGGCGCCGTCGAGGCGAACCGTGAGTCGCGGTTAGAGGAGAGGCCAGGCAGGGTCCAGCAGCGCGCCACCCACGGGCCGATGAAGGCATGGGCGACGTCCGAAACCGCCGAGGCGAGGGAAGAGGCCAGACAGGGTCCAGCAGCGCGCCACCCACGGGCCGATGAAGGCATGGGCGACGTCCGAAACCGCCGAGGCGAGGGAAGAGGCCAGACAGGGTCCCGAAGCGCGCCACCCACGGGCCGAAGAAGGCATGGGCGACGTCCGAAGCCACCGTCGAGGTGGTGAAAAAGCGAGAGGGTCCACACGAGGCCGACCAGACATGGTCGAACCTCCTCTCAGGCACCAGAAAAAAAAAAAAAAGGGGCTAACAGTCGGATGTCGTTAGCCGCTAGCTGCTAGTCGCCAGCTGGACATGGAGCCGCATGTCCCGAATAAACCAGGCATGGTCGTGTATCGGCTCCATGGAAGGCTTGCTGTCCCCCAGTGCCGAAAAGCCGTGGAAATGGCGAGCGTCGTCCACGGCCATTCCGGAGGGCGCACCGAGCCACAGTCAGCGCGCACGTGGCAGCCACGGACGTCTCCAAAAATCTCCGGCATTTCGAGAAAAACAGTGTTTTTTGCCGTGTTCGGTTCAGTCTCGGATACTCCGCGAGACTCACGTCGGGGTCACCAATGTAGTGCCGAGAGAAGGGAGTCGGAGGCGGTGCATCGAAGGTGCAAATCTGGCTTTATTGAGCAGCAGAAATGGACATGCTATCGGGTCGCAGCCCGGGAAGAGAAGAGAAAGCGAAAGGGAGGACACACAGTAGGTACACAGTAGGTACCGTCAACATATGTGTCCGTGCGGAAACAATACCCCCAACCTGTAGTTCCTTGATTGAATTATGTAACCCAGTGTATTAATAAGTGATCACTACAATACATTGTTTTGCGCTAGCATGTATAGCTAGCCTCGTTAGCTATACATGCAGTATGTACATGTACTGTCACAATGTACGGTAAATCACCCGGAGTATACTGTATGAGCTGGGCTTGTTTAGTGTAATAAAACAACTATGAACAAAAGCTAGTGATTCATATTAGGCTAGCAAGAACGTGTTTTCCCGAGCAAACCCATGTCTAGCTCCGTTGGTTAGCTCGGTAGCATACACGCTACGCCAGCTATAATGTAATTACGTTTCGCGACTGACCGTACGGCAAATCACCCGGAGTATACTGTCTATGAGTATTTCGTGTGTGAATGCAGACATTCTCCTGCTATGAGATACATGTACTGTATGCAAGGCCATCTGCTGATATTAGAGTTGATATATGGAAACGCTAGCAACTTAGTTAGCACAGTTAGCACTGTGTCAATGGCTTAGCAGTCCGACACAGTTTATACATTTAAACAGTCTTGTTTGATAAATACACAAATAACAATGCAAACTTACAGGTTGTGCACCCGAATCTTCCCCTGCTCCAAACGGTCCAAACAAACTAGGAATAGCATCGTCCTTCAGTTTCAAATGCTGTGCATATCCGGCCTCAAACTGGGCAATGTTTTGGAAGCTTTCGTCTGTGAAATGCCGCGCACACAGTAACGTTCTTCGAACCTCTGAAGGAACAGTGTTAAAAAGAAATTTCAACCACTGACTTCGTCGTGGTTCTTCTGTCGGTAGGACAAACAGCTCAGATTTCTCCTCACATTTCAGGAAACAGGTCCTTGGCATTGGCATGACTGGATCGATTGTAAACTGAACCAGAGCTTCCAACAGTAAATGTTAGGCTGGCAGAGGGTGCGGCCAGCGCCGCTGGGTGTGACCATAGATCTTCCGGATTGGTCCATTTTGTTCCGGGTACCGCATGACATCATGCCGTACCCGGAACTAAATGGAAGACTCAAATGGGCAGTGACGTATCTCCAACGAGGCGTTTTGGGGAGGTATTTTCTGTGTTAGAGTTTTACTCACTACAGGGTGTACTTTGAGGGTTTTGACTCTGCACACCGTTTACATGCATAAAAACCTTCATAACACACAAAGGGACGGGTAATAACCGGAAAAGCATGACATGGGAGCTTTAATTTAGGAGGGATTGAAGTATGCAAAAACAATAGTCTAGAACTGTATTCTAATTTTTTTTTTGGGAACAGTGGAACTTGTTTCTTCTCATTTTCAACCATTTTCCATATTCCCATAAATCTTTCAGGGGTCAGGCATTGAGCTGTCCAGATTAGTTTGTCCCTGTCTTGGGAACCCAATGGTCACTGTGCCGGTCACTGGTTCAACCCCCCGCATGGACCAATAATATACAAAACACATATAAAATATACATTTTGGGGGCGATGCTAGTGGAGCCTCGCAGCGGCGAAACCGTGCCGCACCACACTAATTGCGCCACATAAGCGCATAGGTGCGACGCTTTTGCGGCTCAGTTGAGGCTCCCTCCGCGAGGTGAGGCCCCACGCAGTAAAGCCTGACTTTAGGGCAGGGGTCTCAAACTCAAGGCCCGGGGGCCAAATCCGGCCCGCGACTTTATTTTATGTGGCCCCGCAAGAGCTTGCAAAGAATATAATACGTTTATTATACGGTTACAGAAGCAGGTTGCCCATAAACTACATGTCCCACAAAGCATCTCGTTTTGTGACATGCGCACTGAAGAGACTTGCAATTATTTGCCCTGGACTTCTGCTTTCAGACGTAGTTAATTACTAAGTTATTATCCTATCCGATAATAATCCAATTCAGAGGCAATAATGTAATATAATACATTATTTTATATATATATATTATATATCTATATAGTTACAACCGGCCCTTTGAGTGCTACCTTTATGCGAATGTGGCCCGCGATGAAATTGAGTTTGACACCCCTGCTTTAGGGGATTTATAAAGTATGCTATTTTCTATCCGAGTTTTGCTCAATGTTCACATTGACTGACACACGTCAAACAATTACTTACACACAGTAATACATAAAAAAAGAAGAAGCACATATTGGTAGGATGAGTCAAGCACGTGCTGACGTAGCTGCACGCAAACGCCGGTGGGAGGAGCTAAGGCTCGCGCGGCTGTGAGTTTGTCAGTTTCCTAAATATAGCGGAGAGCTTCTGTCTCTGTTTGTCTGCGGGAGTCGCTTTGATAAAAAGCAGTATTTACAGAAGGATACAGAGGGGTAAGTCTTCTGCCTTTATGTGTGTAAAGTCTGTTTACTGTCTGTCTGTCTGCTGTGGACACTCAGAGGGAGGGGAGCCACTTCAGATAATGTTCCGATATTCCTGTCAACACACAGCAACTTGTAGTCCGTTACATTGTTCCTACAAAATAAAAGTAAATGCTCTGTAAGCTATGGGTTAACATGAGTTAAGTTGAGAAACTTCTTAATGTGTTTTTGTTGAGCTTTTGTGGCTTAATGTGTCATTCCATGTGAGTACAGTACGCGTAGCCTATTGTACATGTTGTGATCAACCGTGATGGAGCTTCATAAAACTTTGATTCACCCTGCAACGCTGTGCAAACCACTAGCTGTTTTTAGCCGGGAAGCTACTTTCTCTACTGTGTTCCTGGGATACTCCTGTGTCTTAATCTATGGTCTTAAATGTAATGGAACCTGCTGTTTCAGAAAGTGTGGTGTATAGATAATATGTTCTAAATGGTTTACTAGTGGGGCTGCTATTGGAGTAGGACCAACAGCTAAAACTAAAAAAAGTTCATAACAATTCAGAAACACCGTCATACTGGAAGTCCCTACTACAGTACAGGAATGCTATAGTACCATTACACTGACTCTTAGCAATACATGCACGAAGGTAATGGTTTTAGCTGTCAAAAAAACAAAACGTTTATGTCACACAGCACAACAAAGAGTTCTGCACTATTTATATCTAAGAGTTTCAGTCCAAAATGCTGTCAGTATAGTAGGCCTACCTAAAAAAAGACCAAACGTACTATATCCCCTAAAAAAGGACTTGCCAGTTGTTTGTTCTCATGTCGTTTTGTTTTAAAAAAGAAGAAAAAAAGGATACAGTTATCGGATTTTTAAAGTATAACTTCACTTTTTTCAAGTCTATCCTCATGCAAAACTAACATTTGTACATTGAAAGGATAATCATGAGATCACTATTTATTTGTTTTGTTCATAGGCTACTGGCTAAAAAGGGATCCCTTCATGAAGCGATTTCAGTGTAAAATGACATGCATTGGTTCACGCTAACTTTACACTTCAGCGCTCAAAGAATGGATCTCTTTGTTGCTAATATTGACAATAGGACCAATTACACAATCCAATATTGTTTGAAAGTGCATATCAGCATGTGAGTATTGTCTTAAGACAGCATTGAAAATAGGCCTTAATAGCCGCGTTCACACCGGAGTACTTTTCACCGTACTTTTCGCGTTTAGTTCCGTTAGTACCCCTTATGTCGCGTTCACACCAAAAAGAGCACTTAATCTCGGGAACTTTTACCCCCATTTTTAGTGCCTGCTGAGAGATTGTACTTTCCTGGGGGTAAAAAGTGCCCCAGTTCTGATTGGCTGGGCGAATTGCGCCCCGTAAAACTCTGAAATGTTTTGTAGAGCCGCCATTTTATTATCCTGGCATTAGCATTATTAGCATTAGCATTCGCCCAGTGCACAAACGCAGAGAGACTAACTTATGGCAACACAAAATAAAACATGGGAGCGGTGGAGATGAGGAGGTGTCGGCGTTCTGGCGATTTACTCGGAAGGCTTCAGTAGAAGCTGCTGGGAGTCCCAGCAGCTTCTACTGAAGCCAGTCCCCAACTCCGGGGACTTCCGGCCGGGGACTCCGGGTGGCAGTATACGCCGTGAAGTTGTTTGCGGCCTGCCAGTAAACCCAAAGCAGAAGAAGACGAAGTGACGTCAGCGGCTCATTTGCGTAATCTTCCCTCAGGGAAAAGTACTCCGGTGTGAATGCGATCTGTACTAAATGCCCTGGGGTAATAAGTGCCGGGGCACTGAGTGCCTTGAGATGACGTTGTTTTTAAAGTGTGCTATATAAATCAAATGTATTATTATTATTATTATTATTATAAATACGGCAAAGTACTTGGTGTGAACGCGCCTAATGTCTCTCCCCCCCTTTGCCACAGGTTTAAAGGTTTTTAAACTTAAAACAAGTTGCATTAAAGGTAGGGTAGGTAAGTTTGAGAAACCGGCTCGAGATACACTTTTTGTTATATTCCATGGAATGCTCTTAACATCCCGATAGCAATGAATATCTTAAGTGCTTTGACAAAAAATCCATAAAAAAATGTCATCTGTGGAAGCCGTAATACTGTAAAAAGCACGACCAATCATTTTAGCCGGCCCGGCTAAAATGATTGGATGGCCTACCTGCCTGTCAGCCTTCCATCTGTGCACAAACTTATCTCGTGCCCTCATTGGTCATGTGCGCGTTTGTGTGTGTTGGAGGAGGGGCTCTATAAGGAAGTGGCAGATTTTCTCCGGTTGTGTATTTTCAAATTCTAGCGATCTCGAGCCAGTTTCTCAAACTTACCTACCCTACCTTTAATGCTGTCTGTGTGGTTTCTATGAGAATTGAGACAATTCAAGACTAAGAAGGGAAGTAATACTCTTTCGTCAGTACATTTAAAACAAAAATATCTTAAGTCTGTAAGGTAAGATTACTGAAATACAGCAACTACATCAAAACATGATGATATTTTATATTTGTGTTCTGTATGGTTTCCCATTGTAAAAAAACATAGAATCTGACATGACACATGTTGAATTTGTGATGTGACATTACCAGATTAGGGAACAATGACCAAGTGTGGCTGACAGGAAAACACATCTTTAAGATAAAAAAGACTTCTGAATCTTCTCACAAGACTTTTTGGAGTCTGTATATATTCCCAAATCTCCCACATTTGATTGGGAGCTTTTTGGAGCAGTGGAGGGAGCGGAACATTATTGGCCAGTTTCAGTTGTTGCTTTACAGATGTTTTCTCATAAATCAATGTAGCCAACTCATTAAGAAAGGTGATGAGCATTTGGCCCGGAACAGAAGCAGAGGTTTCTATACACTTTGTGCCTCAAGACAAATATAGTTTCAGCATATCTGAATGTTGTTCTCCAGTATAATTCAATAAATAAATAGATTTGCCCCTGGCTCTGTCACAGATCTGTATTTACAGTTAGTGTGAAGACGGTTTAACTCTCTCTCCTAACCCGGCAGGGCCTGGGGAATTCTCCAAAGGTCTCTGCTAGTTTGGAATGAAATGGCTTTATTTATTCAACAGGATCACTTCCTTTTCTTTCTTGAATCTTCCTCTGAGACTTTTTTGTTCAGTCAGTAGCCATTTCATCAGGTTTCTGAAATGTCCTAAATTTGGTTTTATTATTCGAAGAGGACGCAGTTATGTTTAAAAGAGATGTTTTTTTGAGTATGTAACAGTAAGCCTGTAAATCCAACTCCAGATTAAAACGAAATAACTTCAAAAAGTTAGGGTTTAGGCATGTTTTTGTAATAATCTAGACTCTATGCTATAACTGTGGAACCAGGAGAGACAGAAATACATTGACTGAAAAGTGACTTGTCAACAGGCGCAGAAAGGTCCTGCTCTGGGTTCAGGCCTCTTTGGCTCTTCACTGCCCGGTCCCTGCTCTTTGTTTTCATATTACATTAGCGGGGGTAGCGGCATGGAGCATCACCTTCAATTATCCTGCCTGTCAGTGGACTGACAGCGGCTGTCTGCTGGCTTTAGTGATTACAGGCTTCAGGGGACAGGTAATCAGGTCATGGTTACACTGTCAGCCTGTCAGCCTGCTGAGACCACAGGGAGCATATGGGAGAAGAACTCTCACATACACTCAGTTATCTCCCACTTAGATATCCTGGATGCTGTATAGTCTGAAGCAGATATACTTTCATTTTGGTTTGGTGTTTATATTTTTCTTCGTTTAGAGTTTTGTTCAGTTATAATTTGAATGGCATTAAGGATCGTAATGCCAATATGTATTGCTTTTAAGGGACTGCCTGGGACCCAAAGCTAGCCATTTTGCACTTTTTTCCATTTCCAAAAATACGACATCCATCTTTGTACTTATCATTTGGATCGGTTGCAAACCATATTCTAAAGATACTGATACTAATGTAGTTTTTTGACAGCAACATAAAAAATGTAGCCGAAATGCGGGAATTATATATTTATATTTATTTTGTTTTAAGAAGCGAGACATATGTTTTTGCCCATAATCGAAAATCCAAACAGAAAGCTCTATCTGATTTGATAAGCAGTGACCCTCTGTGTCAAAGTGAGCTAAAAAGAGAATATTGGACTTGCATCAGGTGGCCAGAACAGGACTTCCATGTAAACAAGCAACTGTTTGCTAACACGTTAGCCAAATCATCTACTAATGTACAAGTGGAAAAGTGACCAAAAATGTGCAAACATTTATTGCAGTTTAAAAAAAAAAGACATTAAGGTCTGTCACCAATATGTTGCAAATCACCATAAAAGCCTTCATGCATTTCAGTTACTGAAGGATGCATGAAGTCCTGTCTATGTCCTACTTTCATGTATGGATAATATGACTATTCCAGATAATAAGGTCCTCCTTGGGATGATACCAATCCAGAACATCTTGTGTTTTAAGTAAGTGTGTTTTTAACTTTTGCGTGAGGTACCGTCTTGTGCATAATGGGTCCATACATGCGCAGAAGGTTCTGATTGCTAAAAAATCGGATTAAGATGTATGTCTCAAGTGTTTACATTTAAAGAAACATAACATTTATCATTCTTCAACATTTAGGTGACCTGACATTTCACAGTCATCTCTACATTAGTTAAAACAGGAAGCTTTAAAAACAAAACATTGTCAAGATGGTGAGCATGTAGATAACAAAGTAGATATCTTTTTTTAAACCTGGCATTAAGAGACATTTATACTGTATGCCAAATGAAACCTCCAAACACTGATACCATACCCTCCAGTGGTTGGCTGGATTTCATATATCAGTTCATTAGAATGTCAATCAGAACGTTGCTGTGCCCTAATGTCATCTGGAGACAGTTGTGGAACCCTGCCTAAGTAATCATAGCACTTGGTCTTCATGCTCAAACAATGTGCTTTCAAGAGTATATGTTATGCATACAATTCTCTTTCTGGGGTGTGTCAGTCACTTCAGTTCTTTGGCATTATGGATACTTAGGTATTTAGTGAGCTCACATAAGGTTATTGGGTTTATTATAGGGGCCAGATATCTGAATATTTGTTTTTGTAGTGTAGATTTCAGTATCTTAGCAATTGGTCCACCTCACATCGTGTTTATTGAAGTGATTCCTGTCTCTTTTGGCTTCTTTGTTTGTCTCACAAAGAAGCTTCTTCTTTTATACATCTGTAAATGGGCAATTGTGGAAGTTAAAGTAGGTTACATCAATTATACATAAACTGTAGGTTTGAGCAGACATTAAAAAAAAAACACAGGCACTGCATGATATGGAACAAATGAATAATTGAGATGACTTTGACTGATATTGCAATTTTGATTGATGATTTATGATTGATTTACAATATATGAGGGATTGGTCATGTTTGCATTATAAATCTCATCAAAGGTTTTTTCTAGTCTTGAAGAAATATTGTGCTTTCTGTGATTTGAATGTAAGACTAGTACATATCTATATTTTGATAACATTTCCACTAATTGTTCAGCCCTAAAGGTACACCACATTCTGGGTCATTATAACTGTAAACATATCATTGACTGGATATACATAGTTGAATCAGTTGGTGATAAAGATGACACAAAGCTGATGATTTCCTACGAGAGATCAAATATCACGTTTGAAAGACATTTACATAAATGGACATGAAGCTGTAACCGGTAACATGACAGTCTTTGACCACTTGTCCCCCGGCAGTGAGGCTCCTTGTGCGGCTCTATGGACTCCATGTGTTCCCAGTGGTATTTTCTTTCCCCCCTGGTTTCCCTAATGATAGAATATTTGGGGCCTTGTGGTAAACAGAAATAGCAACACTTCTGAAGGACAGGCTTCTCTTTTTGCGCCACACGCCGAAGAAATAGACGCTGCACTGTGTGTGTGCGTGTGTGTGTATTTTATCAAGAGGCTATTTTGAGTCGCCCGTGACCGACTGACTGGCTCAAGTTCTTTCTAGTCATTTAACATGGCCAGTTTTAGGCAGCCCGAGCTGATGCAGGCTGCTCCTGTGTGGACCGAGGCATTTCTTATCCCCTTTGATTAACTGTGACCATGTCTGGCTGAACCAATAACATGCTGAATCACGCACGGCACAGAGGACGACATGTTTGGATGACTCTGTTTTGCTGTGGAGGCATGTTGTGTGTACCTGTCTGTACTAATGCTAACATCCAGACTGATGTGATTATGGAACAGCACAGGCTCATATCAACTACTGTCAACTGCACTTAAGTCTGGGAGTTTTTCTCCATTCTTTTCTTATATTTGTTTTGGAAAATATATTCTTGTTTTTCTCAAATCACATCCAGAAATATGGCTTCGTTCATTACAGCTGGTCTACAGTTCTGTGCAAACTGATTTTTGGAGACAAGCTGTCTGTTCTGCATGGGAGAAGGGTGCTCTCATTGAAACTCCAGAATAACAGAACTTGGGCAAACATTTCCATCTTTACCAATGAAAACTGATTACTAAAATGTTTGCGACTTCAATGTATATTCAAAATGTCACCCGCCACATGACATACATGAGCCCTGAAAAGCAAGAGAAATACATCTGTTGGGATTTTTCTAAGTCCGATCGAATAGTTTTCTTTCCTCTGTTTTTTGTTTTTGCCAGGACAATCTTTTTAAGGTGGACCTACAGATCCACTTGGCTTCATGGGCTTCCCTTATGTTACTTGGGGAAAGAAAATCAAAGATATAATGAAACTAAGCAGTGTTTCCCCTAGGTTTACTGCTTTGACACTAAACACTAAACTCACAACTTAAAATGAAAGTGTTTAGTTTATTTAATAAAAGAGCACATGTTCAATGTGACAGTAGATATAGATTATTTGCAATTTGGTGCTATATATATATATATAAAAAAAAATGAATTTCAGGGGGGGCGCGGGGCTCCGTTGGCGGGGCGCAGCGCCCCTCCAAGACAATGGTAGGGGAAACACTGCTAAGGCTCTGTGTTTTTTTCTTTCAGTATCTGTCCTCCAGAGCTTCAAAAGGAGTTTATCCTCCTGCCTTGGCACATACTGACACATTCAGGTAATATCTGGAACCCCTTTATACAATTGTGCACAAGCTCTTACAAAACATTGCAAAAGTAATTTTCTGGCAATACTTAGGCCCTTTCTTTTTCCCTTTGCTTATGGATGACTAATAATCACAAATATTTGGGTTTTAATATTATTAAACCACCATTTCAGTTGGAAATAAATGAGTGAGCCCAGCGGATAATATTTCCTTAAAATGTGACAAATTATGCAACTCTGGTTCTCTGTATTCAAATGACTTTACTGAAGGCTTAGGGGAAATATAAAACGGTTTTAAGTGTATATTTTATAGGGAAGTAAAATTGCGATCATGTTTACTGAGTTGAGCAATATTTTCTAGTGAGGGCTTTCGTTGGGGCTCTCGCTGTGGTTTCTGGAAGAGCTCTTAATCTGCTGAACTTGAGAAGTCTTCCTGCCTGGTAATCAGGCCGGAGCTGCTCCTTCCTAGCTAGCCCAACCTCTGGCTGCCTGCCGTCTGACCACTGGGCCACACACAAAAACGCCGCAGAGGAGCTCAGAAATTACACTCCATAAATACAGAAATCAAATCAAAGAATTTCCAAATATTAGCCTTGCTATCTACTTTCCGGCAGTCATATAAAACCGTCTTTGTTGTTCACAGTAAATAGGTTTCCCTCCGCCTTGCCAATTTAAACAGTCATGTTGGGTCAATGGCAGCGTGGCTCGGCCTCATTCAACTCAGTGTTGATTTGCTGAGACAGGATCCAGACCAGAGAGCGGGTTGGGTCCGCTCAGAGTCCTGACGCTGTCTCATTGGGGCCAACACTTCATACATGCTGGCTGTATGAAGACTCTCACTGCTCTCTGAGTTATAGATTCATTAACAACTTCTACTGTATATGTTCAATTTACAGCACTTGTGACTATTCGGACAAATCAAATAAGTTAAAAATTGTTCTTGTAACTCATCTTACTATCAGTCTTCCAGTGCAATTCCTAAAACCAGGGTGCAGGATCATTCAAATGTCCAGTTTGAATGCATTATATCAGTTGGCTATTGGCTATTGAACATTGTCGGTATAGTAAGTTTAGGCCAGTAAGAAAATATAATGTCAATAACAATTGGTTGGTTTGATGAGTGCAAATTGAAGTCAGCCTGTGTTGCTGCAGCCTGGTGGTTCCGGTTGGTGTCATTTCCCACACAGTTTGATCTCACACATGGCTTTAAGCAATACCCTCTAATCCCAGGTGATCTAATCCCAGATGTAATACCTCTTCTAATTTCAGCAATTCAGTGTAAAGGAGCGGTTTGTAGTATGGAATCTATTCCAGCTGCACACAAATACTAACACATTCTGAATCACATAAACATCTAGTCCCAATGGGAGATCTTCGCCGGTAGCGGTATAAGATAAAATAAGACAAAATGGACCTTTATTAATCCCTGTGGGGAAATTCAGGATACTTGATGCTCAAAATTCAAGTTATTTCAACTTTGACCTTCGTTGCCTCCAACCTTTCAATGGGCAACTACTAAGATAACAGCTGTATGTGAGGTAGCCATTTGTATACTCCTACTTGGTGCTCTACCTCTGCTAGTGACTGCATTATGCCCTGTGCCGTAACTCTTGCCGAGCAAATTCTATCATGTGTTGGTATCTTACAATTTCATTCTGATTAGGTTTGTACTACTTGTATTCCATTCAAGAGGTCCTTTTTGGGGTTTTCCCATTCCTTTAGGTTTCTGTGCATGTAAATGGTCTGCAAAGGCTAAAATCCCAAAGTTCTCTCCAGAGGGAGTTTCTCTCCCACACACTCTCCCCTCTGCCATAAACTCCTCCATTGGACTCCTTTGTTTACTTCCGCAACATAATGACATCATTATGTAACACTCACACTATTGGTTAGCGCTATAACACATTGTACGCTAAGGGGCAAGACATCTCTAAGTGGTGGACCAATCACAACAGAGCCAGACAGCTAACCAATCAGAGCAGACTGGGCTCTGGTTTCAGACAGAGGGTGAAAAGAGGTGCTGCAGCACAGACAGCTTGAGACAAATAAATAAATGTTTGAACATTAAAGCTTGGAGACATGTCACAGTAGAGGCCCACATACAAATATGGGGTGCATGCCAAACCTTTGAGATTGTGTCAGTAATTCATCTTCACAATATACTCACACTCCCCCTTAAATGTTGGTGTCGAATGCTTTAGTGGCATATTTACTTAAAGTAACAATGTATCACTCAACTGGTGTCAGATTGATACAGGCTGAATGCATGTGGACACTTATATAATGGCTAACTGAACTCTAGTTGTCCCTCAGAGAAAGGGTAGTGTTGGTGTGTGAGGAAATGTGTAGGGGGTTTAGGGTTGGGGGATAGGAGATTGCCTGAAGGACCCTAAGGATAGCGGCCTTAGATCTACTTATCATCGCTTCACAACAAAAGGATGATATCACTTTGCTGAAAGCACAGTTTTTCAATGAGAGCGGGAAGAAAACAATGTTAAAGAATTCATTATAATATCATTTAGTAGATCAAAGGCTAGAGATGCTTCTCTGTGATGAAGCTCTGCAGTGAGCATAGAGCAGGGTGTGCTGTACATGTGGGGTTCTGTACTTCATGATGTGGGTGCTTGACTTACTTGGAGTTCTCTATAGTGTACCTCCATCTTTCGCTCACCTTTGTCTTAAGCACTACTGTAAAGACGAGTGCTTTCCAATACTTCAGTAGGTCAATGTTCCTGTGGGGTGAGGACCCTCAGGGGACATCAAGACTTTGTAGGGGGCCACATATTCCAGGGAAAAATGTAGTGGTGAAAAATGTGGAGTGGAACTAAGATAGAACCACATTTACCGCCAGAAATGGCTACTCCCACTTCACAATACTTTCAAGCTTCAGGTCGGCAAGATGCAAAAGAAGAAACACTAAATATACATTTATATAAGAAATGTGTAAAGATAAATCTGATTAGTCTGAGTTCTATTTGTTTCCATTGTGATATGTTAGTTATCAACAATTAGGGAAATAGCCAAAAAAACTGTTCTGGTCATTCTGGAATATTTACTTCTGCAGTTTTATAGTTTGAATTGATGAGGTTTTTACGATCTGTTTGAGATTTTTAGTCAAGAATACCAAGAAAACATGCTAAAAGCGCTTTAAAGCTACTTCTCCAGTCGAAGTAGAGTGTGTATATGAGAGTGTGTTCGGGTGTCCTTCACAGGGAATTGTCTGGGAGTAGTTGTGGTTTGGAGTGTTATTTTATTGCATTGGCCCAGTGGAGCTTAAGCCTCTCTTGCCTGTTATAAGAATCCTACTGTACATGCCGCATGATTACAGTTGGGAAACAAGACATGTTTACCCCACAGTGTCCCTTTGTTTCAGTCCGTTATCACTTTTCCTCACAGCTGAAACATGACAATGGCAGACTACAAAATATGACATAATGAGTCGGTATTGAAAGTTCAGCCGAAGACCAATTCGTGTTTTTATGAAAGGTCCAGAGAGAGTACGGAAGCCATATTTTACAGGGCAGCTTGTGTTTCCATCTGTGTTGCAGGCATGACATCAGTGTCTCTGTGTTGAGACAGGAAAATCTTATCCCACTGTCATAAAAGCAACACAATAATGAAATGACATCACAGCGGGTCGGTAATTAAATGAGTAGACTGCTGTCTTGGAGTTTTTACAAGGCTGGGAGGTCGAGAGTTACAGTGCAGCATACTGGAGAACAGTGTGTCAGTGAAGGCAGCCCTGAAGCTTCAGGCTTGTTGAGTACCAAATTCATTTCATTTATTAGCATGATGATTTCATAAGAATGCTTTTTTTTTATTGTCAAGAAATGATGCCTCGACATAGACCAGGGTTGCCTTTACCCTGGTACACGTGTCCGGAAGGATTTCAATGTCCCGGCTAGGGCTGCTCAATTAATCGTATTTTAATCGCAATTACGATTTTGGCTTGCAACGATTATGAAAACAACATAATCAAAATAAAACGATTTTAATTTTCTTTAATTTTTATTATTATTATTTATTTTATTGGTTTTTCAGTTGAATTATAAAGTTCAGGGTAATCAGCTGTTAAAAACATACTGTTCACATTTTTCTTTTCAATAAATGGATGTTTTCAAAGTAAATGGATAATCGTTTTTAATAATCGTGATATCAATTATTGACCCAAATAATCGAGATTATGATTTTTGCCATAATCGAGCAGCCCTAGTCCCGGCCAAATAGAAGAAATTACAATCAAGTATCATCTTTGTTAATTGGGCTTGATTAAATATACTTTATGAAGAATAGCTACTTTTGCTTATGTTTTTGGATATGTTCATGCAATTTCTATCCTAGGTGTGCATGAGCCTTTTCACACAAATAAGTATTTTGTTTGTTTTTTGTTTTTATCAAACATCCGCCAATTAGCCCCCTTTGCAGTTGACTTTTTAGAGCCTCTGAAATGTTCAAATTGACCAATCAGAATCAAGTGACTAAGCCATGTAGTAGTCTTGTAACCTTACCTTGTCAGCTAAGTGTTTTTGCTGAAGTTAAACAAAAAGCAGTGCCAGGCAGCAGGTAGTATCTACATATTTCCCCAATGAAAAACCAAAAAGTAAACGCTAGTGGAATGTAAACGCAGCTTCCACTGGCAGAAGAAACAATCCCTTGCCAATAGCTCATCATCATGTTGTGCCTTTGCCTCACACAGCCATACACCATATGTCAGGTGTAGCCAGTCAAAAGATACATCCTAGTGCACATCTTCTGTTTCATATTCAATGTGGCCAAAGCGGTAATTACTCATCTCCTTACTGAAACTCATTCTTGACACAGTCCCACAGCATAGGCTTGCCAACTGACCAGGGGAGTCAAGTGTAATGACAGATGACTCTTTAAGCCATCCAATCTCCGTGGCCTTCAGCCTGGCATTAAATGGCTGCACTGCTGGTGGAGGGAGATGAGTTTAATTTTTAGAAAGTCATTAGCTCAGTGACCTGCAGGCAGCAGAGGCCAGGCGTCGATACTCAA